AACCCTAAACCCCTTCCTAAACCCTAAACCCCTAAACCTTAAACCCGTTCCTAAACCCTAAACCCTAAACCCCTAAACCCTAAACCCCAAACCCCCCTAAGCCCTAAACCCTAAACCCCAAACCCTCAACCCTAAACCCTAAAACTCTAAACCCCAAACCCTAAACCCTAAAACCCTAAACCCTAAACCCTAAACCCCCTGTGTCAGGCCACGAGCCGTCTCCAAGTCGTCAGGCGCTGCGATGGCCTCCGCAGGGCAGGAGTTGTGGGTTTCTGTGTTGCGGGTTTAGGGTTTAGGGTTTGGGGTTTAGGGTTTAGGGTTTAGGGTTTAGGGTTTAGGATTTAGGATTTAGGGTTTAGGGTTTAGGGTTCAGGGTTTTGAGTTTAGGGTTTAGGGTTTAGGGTTTAGGGTTCAGGGTTTGAAGGTTTAGGGTCTAGGGTTTAGGATTTAGGGTTTTCAGGGTTTGAGGTTTAGGGTTTAGGGTTTAGGGTTTAGGGTTTAGGCTGCAGGGTTTAGGGTTTAGGGTCGCTGGTTCCGGGTTTAATACAGGGCCATTATGCTTAGGGCTTAGGGACAATGGCTCAGGGCTTTAGGCTTGAGGGTTTTGGATTGTGACAAGGATTCAGGGCTCAGGGTTAGGATGGCGGATGCAGAGAAAGGAACGAAGAAAGTTGAAGCATCCGCCCAAGTACCTCTTTGGGAAAACCCTTAAAGGAACCCATGGCAGGTAAAACAGGGGCCTGAATAATTACCAGTACTGGTTTGGGGGTTCCTTGGTATAAGTATAGTACAAAGGCCCCCCAAACCCTATTCTAATTATTAAGGCCCCTACAGAGGGCTCAGATCTGTCGCGACAGTGCGGCATTGCTGGTACCCCCCCCCCAGTTCTGCGGAACGCCATGTGGGACAGCGCTTTGACACTGCAGGATGCTGATGCTGCTGATCCCTGTTGTTTTCAAGAGTGCGACCGTGCACAGCCTACCATCAGGAGGTTCATCTTCGACGCCATTCCTCAGTTGCTGCTGCACGGCCCCATTTCATTGAGAGGTCTTCGTGAAGCTCTGGAGTTTCGGATGGGTATGAACCTTCTGCCCTGGCGAACCTTTATCAAGCACTGCGCCCGTGAGGCCGTCGATGCGTGGACTGGTGGAGGACGTGATGGCCCAGACACTGGGAATACATACCCTCCAGCTCCTACAACAACCTCTGGCACATGCCTGGGGTGTGGACGTGGTAGTCTGATGTTCGCGCAGATGTCTGATGAAATCGGGACAATTAAGAAGTGGCAAGGGACTTGGGAACTGCTAGTTTTGTGTGGCGACGTGCTCAAGCTAGCCGGGCGATTGACTGGCGAGGAAATCGCACTCGATGTGGACTCTCGGAACACAGGCGCAGTCAGGCGGACCAAACATAGCATGGGTACCCCATCGGACTTGCGCCGCTCCTTCGGTGCACGCAAGCAGCTGAGTGACGGAGCCTTGGCTACTGCCGCCGGTTACAACGATAAGCTCCACATGGTGTTGGAGTTTCAGTTGACGTGGCTGCTTTATGGTGAGCTGCTATTATCTGGCAGGCCGTGGACCAGCGCAACCTGCACATCTAACATGGAGGAGTTCGCCTCTCATTTGGTGCTCTGGCTGCGTGGCGGAATGCCAATCACCGTCAAGGCTTGGACAGATGAGACTTTCGCATTGAATGCGGCGTCACCATGAAGACACAGGTCCGTGGCAATAGGTTTGCGCCCGGGTTGAGCAAGCCAGGCGACGAGCTCATTGTTCACGAGTGTTCTCTGCCTTGTAACTTTCGTGGTTGTTCATGGAGTTGACAAGGCCGCCTTCTTACAGCCGCTTGAGCTGTAGGTGTTCTCGAGTTTGCAAGCATGCGTCTTCGACGACTTGCTTTGTTCAGGTTTGTGTTGAGGGTGGGTAATGGAAGGAAGACGGTTTTTCCCGCCCTGGAACTTGCGGGGCTAGCCGGTTCAATCTCCTCCTGCTCCCATCCTTACAGATTGCTGCTTCAGGCGGGGCAACTTGCTTGAGTGCATACTGTATATGTTTTGGCCACTCCCACCGTTGCTAGATTTCTGCTCCACGCTTGGGGACCATGCTGTGAGTGCATACTAGTCAGTGGTTGAGTCCACCGTTCAATTAGGTGCACCACCCTCGAATTCACTTAGCAATGGACACGTCCCTCGGA